ATACAAACTGGCATACTGAAGTCTTATACAAACTGGCATACTGAAGTCTTATACAAACTGGCATACTAAAGTCTTCTACAAACTGGCATACAAAAGTCTTATACAAACTGGCATACTGAAGTCTTATACAAACTGGCATACTGAAGTCTTATACAAACTGGCATAGTAAAGTCTTATACAAACTGGCATACTGAAGTCTTATACAAACTGGCATACTGAAGTCTTATACAAACTGGCATAGTAAAGTCTTATACAAACTGGCATACAAAAGTCTTATACAAACTGGCATACAAAAGTCTTATACAAACTGGCATACTAAAGTCTTCTACAAACTGGCATAGTAAAGTCTTATACAAACTGGCATACTAAAGTCTTATACAAACTGGCATACTAAAGTCTTATACAAACTGGCATACAAAAGTCTTATACAAACTGGCATACTGAAGTCTTATACAAACTGGCATACTGAAGTCTTATACAAACTGGCATACTGAAGTCTTATACAAACTGGCATACTAAAGTCTTATACAAACTGGCATACTAAAGTCTTATACAAATATCAAAGGATGGGGCATACTGCCAGTGTGTGTTTCAGCGAACTTGCGATTCGTGGCGAGCATCTAGATGATCTGTCACAGTGACTTCAGCTCATAAACATACAATTGAAATAATTAAAGTATATTACAATGTACATAAATATTCCTCAAACATTGCATATAGGAATGAACATTATGAAGTCAACATATCCCACCCATGGATGTATCTTCCTTCAACTTCATTACCACAACAAGTTATCATGTACGTATAGACAAAGTTAGTTCTGTGTCCATTACAGGATGTTGCAGAACCAACCCCAGCAGTCTTTTTATGCAGACTATTATGTTTTTAAGGCAAATTTTTGTTCATTAGTTTGCCACTGCTTTCTGAATGGCCTGGCTCACGATACCACAAAATCACCTGCAGCTAAAATAGAACCTGGCATTAGAAAGCCCACTGGCAGCGCCGAAGCTGATGTACGTATAGCTACTTGTCAAATTATAAAAACTGCTGCAACAACAACCAATAAACATGGAATGTGAAGTTTTAAGGCAATGTATATTTGGGAATCAACTAGAACTTGCATGAACATGACAATTTTGCTGCAAATATGACAGCAAATAAGACAGCAAATGGGAGTCGCCGTGGCAGAGCGGCTAGACGCGCGCCGCGGATCGGAAGGTCGTGGGTTCGCTCCCTGGCGGAGACGGACTTTTCTTCAAAAATGACCTTGGCTCCCAGGTCGACCCAGCCTTAAGTGGGTACCGGGTGCAATCCCGGGAAGTAGAGGCGGCCGGCGTGATGCTGACCACATCACCCATCTTGTGCCTTTGGTCTATAAAAATATAGGTCTAGCCCTATACGCCTAAAGGCGTGGAAAGGGTCCTTTATTTTTTTTTTACTTTTTATGACAGCAAATATGCAAGTACACATCATCACACCAAGAACAATTAACGTTGAAAAAGCAGCTGCAATTATAAACGTACACCAGGTAGCTGGTCCGTTATCTTCAATTTAAATTAAGGTCTTAGTCTGAACTGAGAACAAGCAGAAAAAATGGTAATGATTTTTAAAAATGTCCTTCAGATCATTATCAAAGATAGTGATGCGATGCAAGTTAACGTTAAAGTGTTTAGCTACCGATATCAGTAATGAGCAACTGTCAGTCCTCATGGACCACGGAGTTGTACCGCTGGTTCTGGGAACAGCGTCTGCTATGATTTTTTAAAATGTCCTTCAGATCATTATCAAAGATAGTGATGCGATGCAAGTTAACGTTAAAGTGTTTAGCTACCGATATCAGTAATGAGCAACTGTCAGTCCTCATGGACCATGGAGTTGTACCGCTGGTTCTGGGAACAGCGTCTGCTATGATTTTTAAAAATGTCCTTCAGATCATTATCAAAGATAGTGATGCGATGCAAGTTAACGTGTTTAGCTACCGATATCAGTAATGAGCAACTGTCAGTCCTCATGGACCATGGAGTTGTACCGCTGGTTCTGGGAACAGCGTCTGCTATGACCGTAAAGTCCAGTATGTGAGAGTAACAATCTCTGCCACGTAGTCCGCACAAAACTGTTCATACTCTGTTACGCCGAGCCTGGTTTTCTCTTTGCCATCTCCTCTCCACAGCTTTCTGCATCTGGCCTTTTACAATCTTCAACAGTTTGGCTCTCACTGCCTGCTTTCAAAGGAGTCAGTCTTATTTTAAGAGCAGACTGTCAGGCAGATACACCCTGACTTCGAAGGTGGCTAAATTATGAGAAAGGGAAAATGGCAGCATGTTGCGACAATAGTTGGAGGGAAGTGAACAAGTGGAAGATCAAGAAAAAATATCAGAGAGTTTGGGTTCCGAGGTCCACTTATGGGGGGGGGGGGCAATAACAGACCCACTGCTCCCTAATAAGCATGTCATAGTAGGCTACTTACTAGGGGTGTTTCTTTCTTGTGCCTGAAAGATGAGGAACCAACAGTCTGCATACACATAAACCAGATCTCAAAAAGGATGTACATGCAAAACTCAAGTTTTGGAACAAGACCAAATACCAGAAATAGATAAAAAACCAAAACTTTTTGCCGAAACTTACAGCCAGTAAAAAAATAGAAGAAGAGAAGAAGAAGAAGAAGAAAGGCATTTCAGCATCATAAGATGTAAAAAGATCTGATACATCAATGTTGGCAGTACACAAGACAATGGACAGCTAGATGCTGAGCATGACCAAAACTACAGGGGTTGGATTGTGTGAAGATGTTACCCATGGGCTTTTTTTTTTTTTTACATTGTTTAAAAAAACAAATATGTTTATTAAAATCTTAACTGTAAATATACACAATAAGCTATTTACAAGACCAACATAATAGATTCTCACAACATATCAAAACCAAAATAACAGATTCTCACAAACTAACAGATTCTCATAACATAACATTTTCACAACATAAAATCCCCCCCCCCCCCCCCCCCCCCCCCCAAAACAGATTCTCACAAAGTAACAGATCCTCATAACATAACAGCAAACCACAATAACAGATTCTTACAACATAACAGATTCTTACAATATAACAGATTTTCACATTACAGATTCTCACAACATAACATCAAGACCAACATAACATTCTCACAACATAACAGATTCTCACAAAATTACACATTCTCACAACATAACATCAAGACCAGCATAACACATTCTCACAACATAACATAACAGATTATCACAACATAACAGATTATCACACAACATAACAGATTATCACAAGAAACACAATGCTCAAATATTTACAAATTGTTCTTTGTTTTGTGTTCAGCTTATCATCCAACTCTGCTACTCCTAGCAAAGTGGGCTCACAGGTCACCACTATCACATACTATGCTAACTGGTGTAGGTGACCATGCCTCTTCACAACTTTATTCAACATCACTCATGCATAACCTCATTTTAACAAGATCTGTGTATACTGTGATCACTGCTCAGTATTCTATCTCTTTGCCTTCCTCTATTTTCCCCTCCATTAACTGTTTCAATCTCCGGTGGTTATTATTATTATTTTAACCCCTTATTCCAAGAAGTTGAGCTTCAAAGCTGTACATACTTAGGTCAAAAGAAGTTCACCAGGTTCACTGTCGGACATAAGTAGTTAAACTAATCATTCGGATGCCAGGGTTTACTATAATATGTCCGTGATTAAAGACAGAAAAGAAAAAAAAAAAGTTGCGCTGTCATTCTTATGCCTTCAGTTAAGTAAAGGACCCTTGTCCATGCTTTAACACAGGGTTAGGCCTATATTTCGTAGACCAATCGGCACTTTGGTCTTCTGCATTCATCCTAAGATTAAATGTGTTCTGCCCAATTACAGCTTGGCTGCGATATTTGGGCATTTCAGCTGACACATCAGACTTCTGCAGGTATTTGCTGACATATTTATTTAGCCTTCCGTGTAAACTATCATTCTAATAACTAAGGAGCGTACACTAAATTCTTTGGTACTTTAGAGTGAGTTGTTTGGTACTTTAGAGTGAGTAGAGTGAGGGTTGTGGTACTTTAGAGTGAGTGTGTTGGTACTTTAAGTTTGGTACTTTAGAGTGAGTTGTTTGGTACTTTAGAGTGAGTTGTTTGGTACTTTAGAGTGAGTTGTTTGGTACTTTAGAGTGAGTTGTTTGGTACTTTAGAGTGAGTTGTTTGGTACTTTAGGAGTTAAGTTTACCAACCATCACAGCAGAAACAAAATCTGCAACAATCAACTGGTGGCAACAAACATAAGAACACATTCACAGCTATTGATTGGCATTCATACAAGCAGATGACAACCGCAGATATTAGAGAATATACTAAAAAATATCAACAACACTGAAAGCCACAGTAGAATTCAATTCTGCCACATCCTCAATTTCTAGTTGGCAGAGTGGCTTAGAAGTTCACAATCTACTTCACACTTAAGCATACCTATTACAATTCAGTGTGGATGGTACTGACTTTGACAAAATGAGGAAGGATTTTTTGCTTTCTGACCCACCTCCTACTTCTAGGCTGTCTGCAAATCTCTTGAGAACTGTCTAATTTGTCTATTGGGTTCTTTTTCTCTATTAAAACTACTATATTTTTATTCCCTCTTATTTTATTATTATCATCAAAACTTCATTTATTTTGTTCATTTCACATAAATTTTTCCTCTTCCTATATTTTAGTTACTCATGTGACCCCCAGTATGGGGACGTGGTCAGGTTACTCTGCCCTTGCTGTTGTTGTAGTTTGCTTTGAGAAAGGCTCCGGCCAAAATTAATTTCCAATGAGAAGACTTGCGGAAAATCATGCAAGGATTTTTTTCTTCAGAATCACGAAATTTTTAACCTGCCATCAACAGAGTCACATGGCCTTAAAATTACAATAGTGGAATTTTCCTTAAGTACCAGTTCTTTTACCCTGGACCCAGAGATAAAAGAAGCCATATTAAAATATCTAAAACTCTAAACCTGAGTTCCTGGACCCACGCTCGGCTGACTCCCCTCGCCTCCAGCAACAGCTCTGCCAATTCTGTCCAGCTCTTCCATACTGGGGGTCAGAAAAATGCTTCTTGGTTTGGCTTGTGGTGGTTTCGGCCCGGCCTTCTCCTTCTCGTTATTATTCCCTCTTTTGACTTCTTTCTCCTGCTTCTTTTTCTCCCTTTCGTCTCCTCTCTTTATAAACAGACCAGAAGTCTGTTGAGGCTTTGAATTGTTTCCATTAGCAATGTCCATCTCCTCGTATTCTGAGTCAGCATCTTCATTTCCTAGAAAAGACAGAAATTGTATTCGTTAATATTTAACGGGGGAAATATAGCATATTCATGAGATACACTTTCTTTTGACTTACGACCATCCACACTTACTGTCATCCACACTTACGACCATCCACACTTACTGTAATCCACACTGTACGACACTTATGTCACCCCACTTACATCCACTTACTACCGTCATCACTTACACCTTACACTTACCATCCACACTTGCACTTACTGTCACCCACACTGGCATCAAAGACTTGCTGTAACTGATGCAATAGAGTACATATGTATTTTTTACAATAGGTTGAACGATTATACGTACACAGATTGAAGTTTTGCTTTGTATGTTCAATTTTACAGCCTATTTGAATGAAAATAGTGTTGAGAAATATAAATTCAATTTACATCCTGTTAGTCAGAGTGGAACTCCCTCTGTATGACATTTAAATAAATGTTGATTTTCTGGACTCAAGACATATTCTTACCAGGGCAGTTGGGATGCTGTGTTGTGGGTTACAGCTAGGATGTGATATCTTCCCCTTTCAATTCCATCAAACTCTTCATTATTCACTTTTTGACATGCATGTTAAGAGCAAAATGGGGCCCCCCCAGAACTGACAGGGCCCCACAGAACCCACAGGGGGTACTAACAAAACTATCCCTCCTCTAGTCCTGTTCTGCCTTTCAGTGTCGGGTTTTGAAGAGGTACCAGATGAGAGCCTTGGTGTGTGCTAACTAGATGCTGGTATTTACAGACCCAGCTATACCATCTATCCATTATATGCGGGGTCGACCTCTTGTGCTTCCGTTATGTCTAAATGACAGGGCTCTTTGTGGTGGCAGTCTTGACACATGTCCAAACCATTTCATCTGTTGTCCCTTCATGTAGTTTAATATCGGTTCCATCCCAACTTCTTCCTGATATCGATATTTCGGATCCTGTCCGTTCTAGTTAACTTTAGGATTTTCTATTGTTTAAATTTTTTTTTCTGGTTAATGTCCACATTTCTGCTCTACAGCGTTCATGGCTGACAAGGATTATTTTCATTTTCATGCCAGGACATGTGGGGGTACAAGGAAATAAGCAAGCTGATAGACTTGCAGGTAAAGCTACCGTGAAAGCCGGACAAGCCTTGGACCAGGCTGATATACTGAATGCTCTAAGAGAGTTAAGACGTTTGCGTGAAGCAACTGAGAACTGTGAATCTGCAACCATGGTCAGACTGCAAGAACAACGTGTTAAATGGGGTGTGCCAAACAAGAACACTATGCGGGTAGCCAAAGAAAAAGAATAAACCAACACAGAACTGGTGTCATTAACCGCTACACGCTGCAGGATTTACTGAAGAGGGGATCTGTGCACTTATGGACTGAGTGGTTCGACGTGCAATGAGGATAATCTTTCGACTAACTAACTAATGTCCATGTTTGGCGGTGATAACACAATTTTTTTTTAAAACTTCTACAATAAAACTCTGAACAACACAAACATACGTGCCTTCTGAAATGCGAGACACCATGTAGGGACCTTGTGTCGGAGGGCCCCTGTAGATGGGTTTTGAACCCGTGTAAGGCTTGTCGTATGGGTTCTCATAATCTCGAAGCAGTGACTCGGTGTTGCCATGAGGCTCACTTCTTTTCTCTTCCTGCTCCTGGCTGCAACAAACAAGGCTGATTTTTACAGAAATGTTCGTTACTTTTGTGTTCACATTCCTGGCAGCAACAGACAAGGCTGATTTTTACAGAAATGTTCGTTACTTTTGTGTTCACATTCCTGGCTGCAAAAAAAAAAACAATGTTTAATCTTCTTCTTCTTCTTCGTGTTTATCGGCCATAAACTCTAGCAGAAAGGTTCTGGATGTTGGTCTACTGCCAAGCCTTAGTCCTGTTTCAGAACCTGAGTTTTGCGTGCACATTCATTTTACAGATCTGGCTTGTATGCAGACTGCTGGTTTCTGCCTCTCAGGCAGATGCACTCAGACTCTGAAGGAGACCCCTGTTAGTCGAATCTTACAATGACATGCTTGTTATGGGACAGTCAGTCTGTGTTTTGACACAAACTGGGGCCCAGGAACCCACCAGGAAATTATTCAAAATGGATGACAGGCACGGTCGAACTTTTTTAGGGGTGCCTACTGTTCATGTTCCAAGTACGCTTGTTTCCACAGCACACGCCATTTGGAGGTGATAGGTTCGATGCCCGGCACTGTAACTATAGCTTTCTATTTTTATGTTGTCTAGTGTGTCCTTCTATATTTCTTTGAGTGCTTATCATTACACTGTTTATTATATATACATATAATATTACTGTTATACAGGAATGTTCATGATCATGCATGCACTTATTTTTTTTTTCTTTTTGATGACTAGGTCTCCTTTTTTTTGTTTTATTTCCCAAGGTAATGGAATTCCACCCTGAGGAGTCTTACTGTGTAAATTAATTTCCCATTAATGACTATAATGAAGCAAGTTCCTTGCAGGGTTTATCAAGGCTGTGGCTCCGTATAAACGCCGTAGCTTCACAGTTTCTCGTGTCTACTTCATGGAATCCAGTAACTGCAATCAGAATCTGCTTCATGTCTTAAAAAATGATCTTGGCAGTTCCCAGGTTGACCCAGGATAAAATCGGGCGCTAGGTAAAGTCCTTGAAAGTAAAGGCAGTGAGTGATGAGCACATCACAGATTAGTCGGTAAAAAATACGAATGAATGAATCAAGAATTGACACTCCTGCCCCTGGGACATTCACACACATGCTCTGTATGCCTTTTCAGTAGCCAGCAAAGAGTCAACAGCCAACAGTGTTTGACTGTTTGTGTTGGCATTTCATTTAATAACACATTTAATATGCGTGTATGCTATTGGAAAAAATATAACAGCAGAAAGCATGGTGCCAGGAAGGAGAGGCAGGGACACAACAGCACGCAGATGGGACACATGATGTAAGTGACTCCTTGGGTATTAAAGTGCCATGAGGCGGGAAAGCTGGCGAGAGACAAGAGTTTCTTTCAGACAGTGAGGAGAGCAATGTTCTTGAAAGGACCTGCTGCGTGATGATGTATGCCGCTGGCTTTGCTGGGACTGCAGTCTGCGTCAAAATGTCACAAGCAACAGTGACGGATAGTGTGTGTGGTTTTCTGTCACCGCAACACAGCAATTATGGGTGGGAAAGGGAAAGATACCGTAACCCACACGTGGCGGACACATCATGATGATGATAAAAATGAATGAATACACTGAGCTTCTTCTCCTTCTCTGCTAGCACTTTAAAGTGTCACTGACATGTTTTCAGCTAGGTTGTGATATCTGCGCCTTTCGGCCAACCCGCCCAATTTCAGCAAATCGCTTATTAGTCGCCTCTTATGACATGCTTGGTAGGAAGGCAGTTGGGCAATTTGTTTTCTCTTCCAGCATGTGTCCCCAGAACCCACACAAGGAAGTGAATCCCAGACAATACTTACGTGTTGTAGGTTTTGGTCTTGTTTCTTCTCTTCCTCAAAACCAAGACAATGATGACGATAATGATGATGATCAAAACGACCACAGCAGCGACAACACCAACGATGATGCCAATCATATCTAAACCAACAAATACCAAAAATAAAAACAAGATGGAAACAAACTGTGATATCAATGTCATTCTTTTTTTCATCTTTATCTCCCTGTGGAGCACAAACCCTTATCCAGCTCCTGCCAATTCATCCTATCCTTTACTATCACACGCAGCTCACCACATGTTCCCCCCCCCCCCCATTCAACTTCACTTACTAGCTGCTTTGTGCATATGTTTTATTTAGGCAAGCTTTTAATCAGGTTGCAACTTGTACGATTAACATAGTGACTCTAGGTTGGTAATGGAAGAAGGGAGTGGAGCACCTGCGGCAAAGTCCCAAGTGCAGTGAAGTCAATTCTTGATTTCTTCATTGATCTACCATTATTTATACACCTCTCATTTTTTTGCCCCCGTGCAGCAACATTCTAGTTATACTGTTCTCACTTTCCTCAACCTCAATGTTTGTCCTGTCCAACGCCAGCATCTTTTCCTCACCTATTGATTCACTGGAATTTGTTTTGTTCTCTCCCAAAGCTCCACATTAATTTCTGATATTCTGTGCAGGCACCAGTTAATGATGAATGTCATTATTTTTCTGATAAATGTGCCAAGTGTAAGTCCCATATCATCTCAACCAATTTGATGCCCTATTATGTGCTACTGCATACGGCTGACATAATAACCTCTTAAATCTGCTCGTCCAAATCTCTCTTTCTCTTCTATAAAAATATCCCACCACCATCACCCATTTGAAACAAGCCACCAAAGACAAGTTGGTTATGTGACATTTGAGGGTAATTAGACCCAGCCAGATGTGTCATTTTCTAAATTGTCATACTGATAGAGTTAAGGTTTTATAACATTCAACAGCCATTAGTTTTCTACCTTTTTATACTGACAGACTTTAAGTTTTATAACATTTAACAGTCATTTCAACAGTCATATCACAGAATTTTGTTTTAAAACTAAACAATACTGCATCAACAAGAAGGAGAATCCTTAATGTCTGTTTGTACACATTGGTCAGCAAGTTTATAGTAACCCATGTTTTCAACTGACGGGTTCCCTGGGTGGGTTCCAGGGCCCCACTGTGGCGGAAAAAAGAACCGAACCACTGCCTCCCCAGCAAGCATGTCATGGAAGTTGATAAAATGGGGGCACCCTTCAGAGTCATAGTACATCTTTATGGCAGGCAAGAAACCAAGAGTCATACAGATAAGCCGGATCTGCAAAACTGATGTGCACACAACACTCAAGTTCTGAAACAAGTCTAAAGTCCAGAGGTGGACAAATAATCACAACTTTTCACCAGAGCTTACAGCTGGTGAACACAAGGAAGAAAAAGAACTGAGAGGCATTAAGTGTATAGCCAGCTGAGGTGTTGTTATTCTTCACCTAGTTATATATCAAGTGACCATTTTCCTAGCTTTCGCAGTGATACAAGAGTTGCACTGTGGAAGAGCCTAAGGCTTCATTAAGTAATTTTACCAAAGACCACAACAGATGCACGGCAGTCAATCACAACTGCTGAGACAACCCCACACAACATCAACAAAACAGATTCAAGCAAGGGTTGTGACCTAATGACCACTAAGTCTCTTGTATCCCAAATAGCTCAGTCTCTCTGCCTGCTGAGAGCATCACAGAGAAAACAACCTCCGTAGCTCTGACAACGATCCCCATGGATCCCTGTAAAAATTGCCCTTGTGAAATTAACCGTGCTGCTGATAAATGAACCCACAACCTCCAGAGCGCGAGGCAAATGGCTTGACCACGGAGACCCTAACCAGTGGATGGTTTAAGCAGTAGACCAGCCTCACCCCTCTTCCCCAAACCCAGGTCACCCCAAAAAAAAACACAAAGTCTAACTACCAACTGACATATAAAATCAATGCTACAAAGAAATACTTACCAGACTGCTGCAATTTAACTGGCTCAGTGATAACCCCCTGCCAACGTGGCAGGTCTTTGCTGCTGATACAAATGGCAGCTGGCGCAGACAAGTCAATTTCACACGTGAACTTGGAAGTATCCGCTGTGAGTGATAGTTATACAATTAAACATTCATTACATTTTGTTTAGAATATAAATTAAATTTTTGTCTATATTTATCACTTGAGCGTACAGTTAAATTAGCATACAAGGGGTGGTGCCATTATGGCGCAAGCTCTAGAGCCTACAAGGGGTGGTGCGACTACGGCGTAAGCTCTCAAGCGTACAAGGGGTGGTGCGACTACGGCGTAAGCTCTCAAGCCTACAAGGGGTGGTGCGACTACGGTGTAAGCTCTCAAGCGTACAAGGGGTGGTGCGACTACGGCGTAAGCTCTCAAGCGTACAAGGGGTGGTGCGACTACGGCGTAAGCTCTCAAGCTCAGAAAGTACCAGGTTAACATTGTTACCAAGAAACACTGGTGTGTAATGACATTATAGTCTCATCTACTCTGTTGGGTAGTGAACTGGATATCATGCCTACTCAGATAAGGGCAAGTACCCCTGGCAGTTGAACGACCCTTTCACAGGGGTCACCTAAGACCATCGGAAAACACATATTCACTGAAGTTATGAAGTAGCAATGAAACTAATTATATGGCAACACAAGAAATTCTATTAAAGGGTTGCCACATTATGAAGGTTGAGAACCCCTGTACTAGACAGACTGTCCTAGCCATTGTTTCTATAGAGGCTCCCTCTCTGCCAGGCACAGTTTAAGTGGTGATAAAATTGTTACCTGGAAATACTCTTCAATTTTCTATAAAGGTCGCTTGTATTTCAAGAATTTACATCATAGCACTCAGGACATTCCCATAAGCACTCTGTCCCCATCTTCAGCAGCCAGTGAAGAGTTTCAACTCTGATGGTACCAATAGCTGTTTGACTATGTCTGTCTTGCCTTGCCCTGGTGTGCAGTGCAGTGTCAGCCAGATCCCCTCAAAAACTCCAGCAGCATGGTTTCCTGTGTTCCGTTGTCTTTATACTGGTACCACTCCATTGAAATCAGCTTCTCGTCGTCAAAGTATGACCGACTTTTTTTTTTTTTTTTTTTTTTTTTTTTTTTTATTACGTATCCAGAAACCATGAGTTGTAAACCCTTTGGCTCGGTACTATGGATATCGCAACCCTTCAGCATTGATTCCATTAAGGGTCCTTTATCTGAATTGGCTCATTAGTAGTCAAACACTGAACATGAACTTTTGACCCGCTTCCAGGACTTTGTGGATCTATCAGGATTCCTAGGATCGAGTAAAAGGTACATATATTATGTTTTTTTAATGATGAGAGGTTAATGTCACTGCCCGCTGCTCCAGATCCCCTGGTCATTCACTGCTGCTCCAGATCCCCTGGTCATTCACTGCTGCTCCAGATCCCCTGGTCATTCACTGCTGCTCCAGATCCCCTGGTCATTCACTGCTGCTCCAGATCCCCTGGTCATTCACTGCCCGTTGCTCCAGATCCCCTGGTCACTGCCTGTTGCTCCAGATCCCCTGGTCACTGCCCGTTGCTCCAGATCCCCTGGTCACTGCCCGTTGCTCCAGATCCCCTGGTCACTGCCCGTTGCTCCAGATCCCCTGGTCACTGCCCGTTGCTCCAGATCCTCTGGTCACTGCCCGTTGCTCCAGATCCCCTGGTCACTGCCCGTTGCTCCAGATCCCCTGGTCACTGCCCGTTGCTCCAGATCCCCTGGTCACTGCCCGTTGCTCCAGACCCCCTGGTCATTCCCCGTTGCTCCAGATCCCCTGGTCACTGCCCGTTGCTCTAGATCCCCTGGTCCCTGCCCGTTGCTCCAGATCCCCTGGTCATTGCCCGTTGCTCCAGATCCCCTGGTCACTGCCCGTTGCTCCAGATCTCCTGGTCGCTGCCCGTTGCTCCAGATCCCCTGGTCACTGCCCGTTGCTCCAGATCCCCTGGTCACTCCCCGTTGCTCCAGATCCCCTGGTCACTCCCCGTTGCTCCAGATCCCCTGGTCATTCCCCGTTGCTCCAGATTCCCTGGTCACTGCCCGTTGCTCCAGATCCCCTGGTCACTGCCCGTTGCTCCAGATCCCCTGGTCACTGCCCGTTGCTCCAGATCCCCTGGTCACTGCCCGTTGCTCCAGATCCCCTGGTCACTGCCCGTTGCTCCAGATCCCCTGGTCACTGCCCGTTGCTCCAGATCCCCTGGTCACTCCCCGTTGCTCCAGATCCCCTGGTCACTCCCCGTTGCTCCAGATCCCCTGGTCATTCCCTGTTGCTCCAGATCCCCTGGTCACTGCCCGTTGCTCCAGATCCCCTGGTCACTGCCCGTTGCTCCAGATCCCCTGGTCATTGCCCGTTGCTCCAGATCCCCTGGTCACTGCCCGTTGCTCCAGATCCCCTGGTCACTGCCCGTTGCTCCAGATCCCCTGGTCACTGCCCGTTGCTCCAGATCCCCTGGTCACTCCCCGTTGCTTCAGATCCCCTGGTCATTCCCCGTTGCTCCAGATCCCCTGGTCACTGCCCGTTGCTCCAGATCCCCTGGTCACTGCCCGTTGCTCCAGATCCCATGGTCACTGCCCGTTGCTCCAGATCCCCTGGTCACTGCCCGTTGCTCCAGATCCCCTGGTCACTGCCCGTTGCTCCAGATCCCCTGGTCACTGCCTGTTGCTCCAGATTCGCTGGTCATTCCCTGTTGCTCCAGATTCGCTGGTCATTCCCTGTGGCTCCAGTCTCCTCAGATTATGCAGATCTCATTGTGCCTCCACACTATTCATTCACTCTTCAGGGGCCCTGACAATATCTAGCTTGTTATGCAACAAACTTTCAATGAACAGTGTACAGCTAGTCGGTCTGTCTGTTCATTTCCCAGCACACCTGCATGCCCTAGAAAAGAATCCAGAGGATGCCAACCACTGGGGACCTCTGTAGCTATTTTTACCATTCTGCCTTAAGCATACCTATCTCTACCTTTTTCAGTATGCTTTGTGAGTCAGTTACAAGAAAAAGGTGTGTGCAGCTGATTCTTAGCCCAATGGAAGGCTGCATTGACTTCCTCTACCTCCATTCATAATATATACCAGGCTTTGCTGCAACAAACAACGCCTGTTTACTTTTGCTAGGAACCCCTTATACACGTCTCTATCTCTCAACACAGAGTCATCTGTATGGACAACCACCATCACCTTGGCTGGAATTGTCATGAATCCACTGAACCTGATTCTGCAACGTCTTCTGGTCAGTCCCTGTACTTCCAGCCTAAAGTTGTACAAAGTTTAGAGTGGCAAAGTCAGGAACTGACCACCCCACATTATGTCATTACCTGGTATGTGTGAAGCTCTACCATCCCACATTACATCACTACCTGGTATGTGTGACACTCTACCACCCCACATTATGTCATTACCTGGTATGTGTGAAGCTCTACCATCCCACATTATGTCACTACCTGGTATGTGTGAAGCTCTACCACCCCACATTACGTCATTACCTGGTATGTGTGACGCTCTACCACCTCACATTATGTCATTACCTGGTATGTGTGAAGCTCTACCCCCCCCCACATTATGTCACTACCTGGTATGTGTGACGCTCTACCACCCCACATTACATCACTACCTGGTATGTGTGAAGCTCTACCACCTCACATTACATCACTACCTGGTATGTGTGAAGCTCTACCACCTCACATTATGTCATTACCTGGTATGTGTGAAGCTCTACCACCTCACATTACATCACTACCTGGTATGTGTGAAGCTCTACCACCTCACATTATGTCATTACCTGGTATGTGTGAAGCTCTACCATCCCACATTATGTCACTACCTGGTATGTGTGAAGCTCTACCACCCCACATTACGTCATTACCTGGTATGTGTGACGCTCTACCACCTCACATTATGTCATTACCTGGTATGTGTGAAGCTCTACCCCCCCCCCCCCCCCCCCCCCCCCCCCCACATTATGTCACTACCTGGTATGTGTGACGCTCTACCACCCCACATTACATCACTACCTGGTATGTGTGAAGCTCTACCACCTCACATTACATCACTACCTGGTATGTGTGAAGCTCTACCACCTCACATTATGTCATTACCTGGTATGTGTGAAGCTCTACCACCTCACATTACATCACTACCTGGTATGTGTGAAGCTCTACCACCTCACATTATGTCACTACCTGGTATGTGTGAAGCTCTACCACCTCACATTATGTCATTACCTGGTATGTGTGAAGCTCTACCACCCCACATTATGTCACTACCTGGTATGTGTGAAGCTCTACCACCCCACATTACATCACTACCTGGTATGTGTGAAGCTCTACCACCTCACATTATGTCATTACCTGGTATGTGTGAAGCTCTACCACCTCACATTATGTCATTACCTGGTATGTGTGAAGCTCTACCACCTCACATTACATCACTACCTGGTATGTGTGAAGCTCTACCACCCCACATTATGTCACTACCTGGTATGTGTGACACTCTACCACCTCACATTACATCACTACCTGGTATGTGTGAAGCTCTACCACCTCACATTACATCACTACCTGGTATGTGTGAAGCTCTACCACCTCACATTACATCACTACCTGGTATGTGTGAAGCTCTACCACCCCACATTACATCACTACCTGGTATGTGTGAAGCTCTACCACCCCACATTACATCACTACCTGGTATGTGTGAAGCTCTACCACCTCACATTACATCACTACCTGGTATGTGTGAAGCTCTACCACCCCACATTACATCACTGCCTGGTATGTGTGAAGCTCTACCACCCCACATTACATCACTACCTGGTATGTGTGAAGCTCTACCACCTCACATTATGTCACTACCTGGTATGTGTGAAGCTCTACCACCTCACATTATGTCACTACCTGGTATGTGTGAAGCTCTACCGCCTCACATTATGTCACTACCTGGTATGTGTGAAGCTCTACCACCTCACATTATGTCACTACCTGGTATGTGTGAAGCTCTACCACCTCACATTATGTCACTACCTGGTATGTGTGACACTCTACCACCTCACATTACATCACTACCTGGTATGTGTGAAGCTCTACCACCTCACATTATGTCACTACCTGGTATGTGTGAAGCTCTACCACCTCACATTATGTCACTACCTGGTATGTGTGAAGCTCTACCACCTCACATTATGTCACTACCTGGTATGTGTGAAGCTCTACCACCTCACATTATGTCACTACCTGGTATGTGTGAAGCTCTACCACCCCACATTACATCACTACCTGGTATGTGTGAAGCTCTACCACCTCACATTATGTCACTACCTGGTATGTGTGAAGCTCTGCCACCCCACATTATGTCACTACCTGGTATGTGTGAAGCTCTACCACCTCACATTATGTCAATACCTGGTATGCGTGACGCTCTACCACCCCACATTACATCACTACCTGGTATGTGTGAAGCTCTACCACCCCACATGCCAGTGCCTGCCAAGGATCTACCAGTATCTTACATAGGAACTTCACAAGTAATGAGCAGAAAAGTGAAGAGGATACCTTCATTTGATGAAACAACTATTTCCACAGCTCCATTACTATAGACTGTAGGTAAAACTGTCCCATTCTCTGCCTGAAGTAGAAACAAACATAAACTTTTCACAAGTCTGAACAAATCGTGATTTAAAAAAAAAAAAAAACTTTTTAAATCGATTGTAAATGTATATGTTAGCCTGATCTGACTCCACACTGCCTGACAACCCATGGTCAGAAAGTCAATGATCTGACAGGCAACGCATAGACCATAACCCATGATCTAGCTCCACAAATATGTGACAACCCTTAATTAACTTAAAGCATGGGATTTCAGGATCATTGTCGTCAACATTTGTATTTATGTGTTTTTTCTCAGAAGCCCAGCTCTCATTCTTTTTGCAAACATTTCTTCCTTCATTCTCATTCCCCTCCTGATTTGCCCCATCCATGGAACATAGTCTATGGCATTTTATTCACAAAAATCTACCTTAATACCTGTAGCATTCATGTCCCACTCACCTTTACATCGAAGCAGAGGCTGGCCTCAACATATTCTAACAATCTTTAATTCACCACAGAGGATGTCTTTAGGGACTCTACCATCGTCCATTATCTGAGTGTTACCCAGCCAACTAAGCCTTTAGAGACAGAGCTTGAGAAGACTTGTAATACCTGCTCTTTCCAATACCTCATCATTTGTAATCTTTTCTTGCCACTTAATGCCTAGTATTCTTCTTAGGCATCACATATGAAAGCTATTTAGCTGTTTCTCCTGGTAAGTTTACCAAGTTTCAAAGCCATCAAGTAAAGTGCTGAGAACACAAGTCTGACAGACAAGGAGTTTTTGTTTTAATTGTAAGCTTTATGTTTTTCCAAACCTTTTGTTGATCTGTCCATTGTTGCTGCAAAGAACAAGGTTTTCCTGTATACAAAATTAACACATTGCAAGAGATTTATAGCCAATCCGCAAAGGTCCATTTTTATGCTACAGTACTTGAGGCATGTGGTATTGGACCCAGAGAAAGAGACAAAATACCTTCAATAAAATGTTGATGGGTGGCGAGCCGAGGTCGCTAAGCTGGCCGCACGATAGTGTCACAGATTTGTCATTCTGGTTCACTTTTCGAGTCAAGGACAGCCTTTCTGAAGCCAGGGCAGGGGGACCTGAAGGAGAAACACAGATGTACATTACAGTGTAGGTTAACATTTGTCTTCTTCACCTGTGCTTCAGTTGTTAAGGAAGATACTTCTTGCTTATCTAGCTGTCTTGACCATAGTTCTGATGTTATTTTTCCATCTTGTTCTTGGTCTACCTTGTGCTCGACGTCCTTCTCCACTTTTGGTGTATGCTGTGTATGGTACGAAAACAGGGGTGATTGTATTGTAATCTTATTTGGCCGAGAGTTGAAGTTTCTTCTAGTGGGAACAGCACAGGTGAAAGTTCAGACAGCGGCCACGAGTCGTTGCCTAGGCGATGGTAATTTTATAACCTAATTGAATTCTGGGCGTAGAAGACAAAGGCTCGGGCAGTTGAGGTGTTTCCATTGTCCAAGTCGGATGTGTGGAAACATTGTGTTGGGAGCTCGGTATAAGAATATTATAAAAACGTTTATCTTTGTGAGATTTTTGATTTACGTTTGTTTGCAGGAGACAGTTTAATGTCTGTTTAGTTATTATAATGGCAGGAGTCCATTGAGAAAAGATTGTAATCTTTTATATCATCAGAGTAGATAACAGAGATTTATTATCGTACATGTTTTAATGAATAATCATCATCTTGTGACGTGTAATGTTAATGATATTAAAGTTTATGTGGCCTGTCACAAGCGTTATTGTTGACTCGTAAAGATAACAACTGTATTAGATGATGCTGTGCCAAGTGTGCCAGTTATTATAGAATGCAGGACTTCACTGTAGCACATCCATCAAGGAGATATCCAGCGGAATATTAGAGTAGGTACCCTAGGCCTAAATACTTGGTTGTTGAATATACAGTGTACAACAGAGTGTACAACATGTATGAAAACAGGGGTGATTGTATGAAAACAGGGGCGATTGTATGAAAACAGGGGTGACCTCAGTCACTACCAAGAAATGAATCCAATGAACTGTGGCTAAAAAGCCTTAAGAAATGGGGAAACAGAACAACGTGCACAAAACACACAAATCGACACAACATTAACAAAGGGGAGGGTCTTTGATTCTCAAACTCTTCTCTTGTGTATGGTATGATGTCACAATATATTCTGCACAGACAAACCATTTGATTTTATGTCTTTGTATGTAATTTAGAATTGATTCTGTGCCAACTTGTTTTCTAATGACCTCATTTCTGATTGTATCTTTTCTGGTCACTCCTGCAGCCTTCTCTGACATTTTAACAGGTTTAACATTTAACTTTCATAGTTTTAATGTGACAGCCCAACAAACATCTACATCAGAAACATACATCACACAATGAAGTCAGCAGAAGACACAAACGTACAATGTAAGAGAGACACAGATCACATACAAAGTGTCAGGGCATGACCTGGCATACACTTCCCTGTAGCAACATAAGAAAACAGGGGTTTTCAAGCTGAAATGATATAGAACGATTCTAAGAATAAGGACAAAGAAGATAAGAAAAACTGAAGTTTTAAAGACCTGAGCATCAAGAAAGATTGGCTGATAAACACCATCTTGTCTGGGAAGCTGAAATATTTTGGGTATATCAAGCCCCATGGGGGACTGGAAAAATACTAATAGCAGGAAGGCATGGTACCAGAAAGGAGGGCAGAGTCCGACCAGCATGAAGATAGACCCAGGATATGAGGGACTCCTTGAATATGAAAGATACACAAGGCGGGAAAGCTGGCGAGAGACCGAGTTTCCTTCAGGCAGACTGTGACGACAGCGGCGTTCTTCAAAGGATCTGCTACATGATGATGATACTTAAAGTGAGTTTCAAACATGATACATTGTGTGTGAGACTAGTTTAATTAATGGCCAAGACAAAATCATCACCTATGAAGCAAAGCATGCCATCCAAATATGCACCATTCACCTACAAATTGGCACACAAAATTGTAACACTGCCCAGTAAGTAGACAAATAACCCACCATTTTGTTTAGCTTGTGAGAGCTGCATGGTTACGATGTAGCATGCAGCACAGAGTGAACATCATATTCTGTTTTAATTTTGGAGAAGTGGTTTTTTTTTTCCCCCAGACAGCTAAACTGATGAGACAAGTTCGTAACACAACAGACTCCTGCATGGCCAGGTGTGTAGATGCAGGTGATGGATCTTTTTATCCTTTTATTTTACCAACTCCTCTTTTTTTTTTATTTCAAATCACTGTAAAAATAACACAGTAAAGAGCTGTACTTACGAGCGACAACGACATTGACACGCCGCACGTCATCTTGTGACAGGTGGATAAACTTAGCGCTGTACTCAGCCGAGTCGGTAACCTCAACATTGTTTATCTGTGAAGTCATAAACACATCAAGCTATCAAACACACAAGAAAGCATTGCACATAACTGACAGCTTCACACACACACAAAGGACAGCCTCATGTACATAAATGACAGCTTCACACACATAAATGACAGCTTCATTCACATAAATGACAGCTTCATGCACATAAATGACAGCTCCACGCACATAAATGTCATCTTTAAACACATAAATGACAGCTCCACGCACATAAATGACATCTTTAAACACATAAATGACAGCTTCACGCACATAAATGACAGCTTCATGCACATAAATGACAGCTTCACACACATAATTTTCCCAGGTTTCTGGGTAGTAAGATCGGATGCCTGTGTGTATTGTTGCACAAGTAAAAAATCCCCTGGCAGTTGGAAATTGAAAAGAGTAGCCTGATGTCGCTGCCCAGGCAAAATCTGGAGTTATAAACCTACCCAAAAGTATTTTAGGATCCTCACCAGTGCTACGGTGTTCATGCACTGCGCTGAGATTCTTCCGACTCAGGCTTGAGTTAGAAGTAAAACGGAGCACTTATGGGTTACTACCTTGTGCCATGATGTTGATCCATTGTATAAAACAAAACCAATCTTCAGAAATAAAGGTATTACTGAACAGTTAGATGACTGACTTTAATCAATCTTATGAAGTGACATTAAAATGAAACTGAAACAACTGCGTGTCAGTTCAAAGTCGTCTATTGGTGGAAGATCGGTCGAGCCCGCATGATGGCAACATTCTGAGGAATATTTCGGACGCTACGGGAGATTTTCTTGGTGATTTTTTATTCGGAAAGTGAGGATGATGATATTTCTTAACTTATTCCCGTGGCAGTCGGAGGTAAGTATTTATATCACGCAGACTCATACGTGTGCTTCAGGTGTGTATCATTAGATGTGTCTGTTAGTGTAGACTGTGTACATTAAAGCTACATGGCTGAGAGTTTAGTGAAAATTGTTTCATAATACTCTTCTTCTTCTTCTTTTGTCAAAATCTGCTTGTGCCGCTAGGCGTCGCAGTCTATCAGATGATCGGCAACCGAGCCAGGGCGCGCTCAGTCGCTTCATATGCCGTGATGTTATGAAGTCTCAAGTTGTCCGTGACTCCTTTCATCCATATTCTTACTTGGTCTTCCCCTGCCTCTTGGTGTTTCGATTTTCATGTTGTATGCTCTTGATGCTGGCATCGTTGGTTCCATTCTCACTAGGTGACCAAACCATTTCATTCTTTGCTTCTCAATAAATTTAACGATGGGTATGGTTCCAATAGTTCTTGTAATCACATTGTTTCTCACTCGATCTCTTCTGGTTTTATTCGCAGCCATTCTCAAACATCTCATTACACAGGTGGTTAGGTTTCATAATACAATCCTTGATATTTACCAGGATGTGATTCCCATGATGGGCGGTCAGGGAAAGATCACTCTTGTGGTTTTTAAAGTTTTGACAATTTAGTCATTCAGCATCATAAATTCTTGGTGCAAAACGGCAAACAGTCATTGAAATGGCCAAATTTTATTTCACAGTTGGGCAGAACTCTCACTCGGGGTTATTTCTGCCACACACACAAATTTAATTCTACTGGTGTCAGATACAAGATTTTTGGGGTGCATTTTCTGAACAAACTAGAGCCAAATGATGATGACATAAAACAAGATTATTTAGTTTTTGTTCTTGAAATTTGTTCTTTATTTTTATTTTGTGCAAAAATACAAAATATTATGAGTTTAAGTTAAATAGCTATGGAGCAACAGCATTTTTAGTAAACACAAGAAATGTGTAGTATCTGTGAAAGTGCAGGGGTTAACAAGCCTGGTTCCCTGTGTGGGTTGCGAGGCCCCATTGTAGTAAAAAACAAGAACAGACCCACTGCCGACCCAGCAAGCATGTATGCAAGAGTCGACTAATTGGGGGGACATTTGAAGTTGGAGTGCATTTGCCTGGAGGTAAGGCACCAACAATATGCACATAATTAAATAAGATCTGTTAAACAGATGTGCACATAACACTCACGTTCTGGGACAAGACTAAAGTTCAGAGGTGGATGACCATAAAAACTGCACTCGTGAAGCGAACAGCGCAGCCGTGAAATCAACCCATAACCTTCAGAAAGCAATGCAAAGGGCTTGACCACTTGGAGACGGAGACCTGTAGGCCAAGTCAACTTCCGGCTATCCTCTGAATAACAGCCACATTTTATGGCGGCTAAAACCACACCCTGACACGGCCTCAGTCACATGTAAATTGTGGACTATCTGCGAATATACCACCACCGCCCAGAGTATCTCCCGCATCGCTACGCGTGGCTAAACTAGATGGCTGGGACACACGAGCAGCAGCTTCCGCATCTCCTGCAGCTTCGCTCGTGAGTCACAGAAATCTAGTTTAGCCACACATTGCGGCGCGGGAGATACTCTCAGCGGTGGCGGTATAGTCGCCGGAGGTCAACAACTTACATGTGACTGAGGCCCTATTTTTTGCCGCCATAATGTGTGGTCGTTATTCGGAGGATAGCCCAACTTCCTGTTTCTAGTGGACTAATGGTGTGCCTAGGGACTTTCTTGTAGCTCTCTAACAACCAATCCAAATGCCCCTTAGTGGAGACAAGAAAAACCAATGACAGAAAGAAACTGTCTTACCTGTAACCCCCAGAACTCAAACACTGTAAATTTGGGCCGAGCTTTCTGTTCCGCTGGTTTATTTCTCAAAAACTCCAGCAGCATGGTTTCCTGTGTTCCGTTGTCTTTATACTGGTACCACTCCATTGAAATCAGCTTCTCGTCGTCAAAGTACGACCGACTGAAAGGGTCCTTTATCTGGATTGGCTCATTAGTAGTCAAACACTGAACATGAACTTTTGACCCGCTTCCAGGACTTTGTGGATCTATCACGATTCCTAGGATCGAATAAAAGGTACATATGTTATGTTTTTTAATGATGAGAGGTTAATGTGACAGGAGAGAAATCTTTTGAAATAAATCTTACCTGTGATTAAGACACGCTCATTTATCCAATAGGCATGTTAAGCACACTGCGAGGTGTTTACACTCAAGTGTCTTGATGTCAACAGTCCCCCTGTTAGGGATCTTTGCTCAAATGTGCTGGTTTCACAGAGCTACTGCTGTATACCCTAAATTACTGGGCGCTTTAATAATATCCTACCCAAGGACAGTCCAACATTTTAGAGGGTGGTAAGACTGGGTTTCCCAGCTTTCTGATGCTTTTAACGACCCAAAAACATCTAGAACTGGGGCTAACCCCAACCCACCTACATCCCAAGAGAGAGAGTGCAGCCTAGGTCCCACGACTGCAGGCAGCCTAGGTCCCACAACTGCATGCAGTCTATCTACCACCCCCTGAAATATTACTGTCCCATGGATTTACCCCGTTTGGGGTAAGATATTAATGAAACAAGCATTATTGCACTATGTAAAAGTAGTTTGTGAATCATTCTCAATGTTTCTTCATTTCCCTAAATTTAATAGTCACTCCAATATCAGAGGCAATCTCTTTGTTATTTTAAAGCCCTACTCCAGATTTAGTCAGAGGTCCTAATATAATCGAAGGCTGAAAGAGATTTCTGGGACTTATAACTTGGTGATTCTCATCCGAATAGTGGCACTTTGTGTCATCGGATGTTTATCGCTGGTTGTGTGGTCCTGATGGGGTGGAACTTCACTCACTGACTATCCCAAGTGCATGTCCCTACCCTTTGCAACACTAGCATATTTTCCTCACCTCCAGACAGATACTTATTTGGACGACAATATATAACTATTATATAAAAGAAAGAAATTCAATTATTACTGTTTAAATGATTAAGTTAATTAAGCTTAATAAAGTCTGCTGCATACAACTATTAATGATTATTTGATTAATGATATCCTCCAAATAACTGTCCTAAATTATCAAGGCGGAAAATATTCCTTAACAGGGCATCAGTCACGTGTCAAGTGCGCACTTTCATCGTCTTAAATTGCGACTTCCGCCACCGCCTGAGAATATCCCCTCCCCCAAGCCGCTCAGGCGGCGTGGATTAGGGCTAAACTAGATGGCTGGGACTCACAAGCAGCAGCTACCGCATCTCCTGTAGCTTCCTTTCATTTTATTTGCTCGTGAGTCCTAGCCATCTAGTTTAACCCCAATCCATGCCATGTGAGCGGTTTGGGGGATATACTCTCAGCGGTGGCAGAAGTTGCCGGAAGTTCACAATTCGGCGGTGGCATTAAAGTCCCTGGAATGTGCACAATTGACACATAACTGAGGCCCTGTTAAAGTATATTTTCCGCCTCGATAATTTAGGACTGTTATTCGGAGGAGAGCCAATGATTTTTTCCCCCATCATGTGGGTTTATGGATCCACTTCGATTGGTGGTAATAGATCCACTGCCTCCATAACAAGCATGTCGTAAGAGTTTGATTAATTATTTAGGGTTTCCTTTTAAGTCAAAGTGAATCTGCCCGAGAGGCAAGGAGCCAACAGTCTTGTACAAATAAACCAGATTTACAAATTCAAAACGGATGAAACGCACAATTCAAGTTCAAGGTCTCGAACAAGACAAGTCATGAAATGCACAAACAATAAGAACGTTCCGCCACAGTTTACAGCAGGTAAAAGCGAAGAAGAAGACTAGCGTCAATTATTAATTAGTTTTATGAGTCATTTACTGCCATCCCATTGACAACTACGCATACATTTACATTTCTTTAGTAGTTGTAGTTGTAGTATAGTAAAAACTTCGTAAAACTTGAATTAATTAATTAAATTTGGTTCATGAAATCCCAACAAAACAACAAACACATTACAAATCGTTGTGATTCTTTAACTAAATAAGCATTTTAACAATGTTACAATATCATAATATTTATATATGATTCACTATACTATGATATAAATGTTAGTTCGCATCGGCATGTGCGTCCAAAACATCAAAAAACACAACTAAATTGGAAAGGCGAAAGGGAAAAGGTGTTCACTGAAAATGGCTTGCTTAATGATATACTTACCAAACTTACCAAAGACTAAGATCCCAGGACACAGGACAGACAAAAACAGTATTCGTTTCCAGTCCCATGTTGAGTCTGTGTTGACACAAGGATGTTTAACACTTTACAAACAATGTCGAGATAACAAACAAGAGATGAATCATAACAGATTGCAGCGAAAAGTTCCACAAGAGATCTACTTCAAGTTTCGCTTCCGTTCAAAAATGTCAGGAAGGGGGCCGGAAGTTCTCACATGGGCGTATCGAGTCTGAATATTGGGTCGGGTGGTGATTCTTTAAGCAAGTGTCGATTACTGACTTATCTATCTATCTATCTATCTATCTATCTATCTATCTATCTATCTATCTATCTATCTATCTATCTATCTATCTATCTATCTATCTATCTATCTATCTATCTATCTATCTATCTATCTATCTATCTATCTATCTATCTATCTATCTATCTATCTATCTATCTATCTATCTATCTATCTATCTATGTCTGTCTGTTGTAATAAATACTTCGATGCTATTGTTAATGTTTATTACTTGATGTATGAATGAAACGATTAAGGATAGAGGGAGACCTCGAAAGGCATAATTTTAGATGGGCCTGCATGCCCAATTCTTAACCCCTTAAAAAAACCAACTAGTTCAACCAGCTGCGCGACGACCGGGTGACAAACTCCTTGTGGTCCAGGTTCACGTCCGGGGGTAGGCAGAAAAGTCACACTCCTCCCAGATTTACGGTATCTATCATAGAATCAAGGCTGAAGGGTTGCGATATCCATAGTACCGAGCCAACGGGTTAACAATTCATGGTTTCTGAATACTTAAAAAAATTATCTAAATCCACGGCCCTTTTCTATTTCTGTCAGTCTGTCGGACTGCCGGTCTGTTAAACTGTCTGTCTATCTCTCCACTGTTCGACAAGGGAAGCAGGAACTCATGGGCTTACACATTTAAACCCCCCCCCCCCTTTTCCCCCCTCTCCCCATACCCATCGTTGTCATTATGTGAAGTGGCCTCCTGTAACCCTGTAGAGAAATTCTCTTTAAAAAGTAATTGTCTACACTGTTCATATTGTTGCAAACATTCGATTCTCTTTATTGGACATTGAGCACAGTATTATTATTTTTATGTTTCTTAATTCTCATTAAACATCATAAAACGATTACTAAAATGTTATATCGAGCCTGTTCTGTTGTATGGCGGTGAATCTTGGAATATAAGCAAACAAATTATAAGAGTCCAACGGCAACAGAGATGAGGTTCTTGAGAAGAATGTTGCGCAAACAATGGACTACCAGAATAACTAACAATGATTGCCTGGAAATGGCTAATGAAAGTAGAACGTTTTTTACAACAATGAGAAAGAGACAGCGTTTTTTTTTTTTTTTTTTTGGTCCTGTGATGAGAAAATAAGCACTGGAGAATATCGTAACAACTGCAAAGATCACGGGTAGAGGCAGACCAAGAGATTGCATTTGGAATGTTTTTTTCGACTGTGACCAACGTGTTGGTATGAATTGTAGATTCAGAAAATGGCGCGATGCCTGTCGTGCAGTGTTGTGGTGCCCGTATGTGATTAAAATTGATCGCGTGGGCAACTACTGATCTGTTGGCGACTTCTACTACCATCAATGATGAACTGCAATTCTAATACTTTGATAAACATTCTGTGTGTTTGTCGTTGGCACAGGAGCGGAGCAAAGATGGGGTGACCCGTTTGCTATGAAGCTGAAACTAAGACTACCAGACCAAGAGAATTGCTGGTGGATGGCTTAAGACAGTGGCATTGAGAGATATCATCAGTAGAATTGTTCCAGAACACCAAAGACTAAGATCTGTGGCGTCCCATGAGCGCCTACACCAGGTGGCAATGCACTTGATGATGATGATGATGTTTCTAAACTAGGGTTATGCCCCTTGAGACACGCCATTTCTTTTGCCTGCAGAATTTGTAAGACGGGCGAGGTTTGGGGCTCTCTAAATAAAAAAATAAAATACCCTGTTTGGTGTCAGCGTGTCTGATGCAGACTTTACCACGGAACATTGTGGGAAAACCGCACTTAGTTTAGTAACCCCCCATCCCTGGTCTCTGGGTTGTGAGATTGGACGTCTGTTTGCATTGTTGCTCAGGTAAAAAAATCCCTTGGCAGTTGGAAATTTAAAAGAGTAGCCTAACGGCGCTGCGCGGGCAAAATTTTAAGTTAAAATCTACCCAAAGTATTTCAGGATCCTCGCCGGTGCAACAGAGCCTGTTCACTGTGCTGAGCTTCTTGGGACTCAGACTTGAGTTAGAAATAGAACGGAACATTTATGGGTTACTGCCCGTGTGTCATGATGTTGATCCGCTGTTGAAACCTCAAGTCTACCTGGTGATTTGTAACCCGCTGTTTTACAGACATCCTTTTTTTTTTTTTTTGTCAGTCCTAACGAGAAATAGAACTTACGTCCTTTTTAGGACAACATTTTTTGTTATTTGAAGCCCCACTCTGGCTTTAGCCAGGGGCCGCAATATAGGCAGACCATCAATATGGCCAATTGTCTGAACGCGGTTTCTGGGACCTCTCCACGGTGATCCTCCTCCACATGGTGGCACTTTATGTCATCGGGTGTTTATCGCTTGTGTGATGTCCTGGTGGGGTAGAAAGTCAGTCAGTCAGAAATAGAACTAATCAGTTTTACAATTCAACGAAATAACAAGCAATGTGCCGGTCTAACTGCTTGTTTCATCAGTTTTTCAGAAAGTTCCGAGGACATTTCATGTGATTTTTACTGGCACAGGAACGGAGCAAGTATGGGGAAACCCGATTGTAGTGTTTAAACCTTGAATACTACTACTAATACTACTAGTGTTGCTGCTGCTACTACTACTATTACTACTATTTGTGCTGCTGCTGCT